AAGATTTATTAGACCTCATATTCCTCTTTCTTTCCTTGAAGACTACCATTGCGGCCTTATAGCACAACTCGTCTCAATCCAATTCATTCTTTACATAAAGTTTAGAGATTTTTTCATCAAGAACTCTTCTTTCCCTCATTCTTTAAATTCTATTATGTCCTACATCAATGTCTCTCTTGCCTATAGAACTTTTTCCATTAACATTAACACTCATTCTACACTCATTATCTACAACCAAGCCATTAAACACCCTTCTATTGAGGAATGCTATGGAGACTTAAATAAGCGCTCTATAGGATAACAAAACTTGAGAAGTTACTGACTTACTTGCCTCTAAATACCTCATTGCTCGTAAATAGGTGTATAAGGTAAAACATAAAGCCGATGGCTTCATTGAAAGACATAAGGCCGGGCCCTGGCCAAGGGTTACACCTAACAAAATGGTATTAAATACTTAGAGATCTTTTCCCCCGTTGCTAAAATAACCACTATCGAACTCTCTTTTTCATAGGCTGCTACAAAAAAACTAGTTTTTACGGTAGATAGATGTTAATAATGTTTTCCTTCATGATAATTTGTATGAAGACATATATATATATAGTCCTTCGGGGTTTTTTTCTTCTAAACCCAATCAAGTATCCAAACTCCTTAAGTCTATCTATGGTCTAAAACAAGCAAGCAAACGATCAATCTCTAAACCTTCAAAAGTTTTATTACAACAATGTTTCAAACAAGCACAATCGGATCACTCTCTTTTCACCAAATCAATCTGCTACTAGTTTTATTATAGCTCTAGTATATATCGACGGTATGATCTTATAAGTGCTTATAAGTGACAATATGGATTGCATTGATGAGCTTAAAACCTTTATGCACACTACATTCAAAATCAAAGATCCGGGAGATTTACACTTCTTTTTAGGGCTGAAAATATCTAGAACAAACTCTAACATCAATTTCTACCATAAAAAATATGATCTTGAGTTGTTCGATGATGCTGGTTTTCTTACCTACAAGCTCTGCTAAGACACCTATACACCCCAAGACACAATTGACAAAAGATGGTGTTTCTCCTCTAGAAGATATCATATCCTACGGAAGGTTGATAGGCAAGTTTCTATATCTCAATACCACCAAACCCGATCTATCCTTTGATGTGCGGCAGCTCTCTCAATTTCTTGATCATCCCACCCAATCTCATTTAAATGTTGCACATCATATTCTAAGGTATATTAAGGTTGCTCTTGGACAAGGTTGCTGACTCAACTATTCGATTACTAGGATTCTCCGATTCGATTAGGCAACTTGTCTTATAACTAGAGAAATCGAGTGAGTGGATCCCGTATCTTTCTTAGTAATACTTTGATTTCCTAAAAATCTAAAAAACAAATTATAGTTTCTCGTTTTTCATCAAAAGCTAAATACAGAGCTCTTGCAACGATCACATGTGAGATTCGGTGGCTTTTCTACTTATTGATGATTTGAATATAGATCATTGTAAGTCGGCTCTCATTTTTTGTGATAATCTTTCAGCCATACATATAATTGACAACCCCGTTTTTCATGAACAAACAAAATATATTAATATTGATTGTCATGTTGTTCATGAAAAATTACAAGCATGTATCCTTAAACTTCTACTTGTGTCATTTGCCAACAAGCTTGTTAATTGCTTCACCAAATTCCTCCATGCCTTTGCCTTCCATTCTTTACTTTCTAAACTTTGCATCCACAACATGTATGCTTGCAGACTTGAGGGGGCTATTGGAAGATACTCTTTTTCTATGATCTAGGAAGCAGAGGATTATTCCCTCACTCTATTTTAATTGTTTTTATACAACTCTAAATTAATCATTAGTTAGTTTCTTTAATTAATCTGTCTATATACCTTCCTTTCAATTTAATTCAATACTTCTTTCCACCTTTTTTTTTGTTAATGCAATCTATAGCAAATGTTAAGTTTTTTTGTTAAATTTGAGACAATTGATGAAGTAAATTTATCATATGACTTGTCACATTTTCTGGATTTTTTTCGTACCATATGCGAAAGGTTCAATTTTTTTTTGCCAATTTATACCGACCAATGATTTAACATGTTTTTTAAATCGAGTGATGAGTTATTAAATAAGTTTATTGAAAAAATTATGTAGCAAAACATCGATTTAAAATATACATGCATTGTTGTAGACATGCATATAAAAACTATTCATGCTCTAAGATTATCTCTCATTAAAATCAAATGAACTAAAAATAATTCTAGCAAATATTGATTTTGTTGCTACAAGCCCACAGCCATACCTAAAACGATAAATTGAAAAGGTAAATGAAATGCAAAACGTCATAAATCAAATCAATTGACCAATCGAAATAAATATAAAGCTTTTCTTTGTTGTTTTTAGATCACACATTTTTTTATAGGCATAAATAATCTCATATTATAGCCGTTAAATTTACATCGGGTCATGTTCAATGATGCAATATGCTATCAAGAATGACATGAAAATTTTATTTTATAGTTCTCATCTCATTTGTATTTTTGATATTTATATTTAGCCAATATTTTCTGAAATTATAAAAAATAAATTATCTAATTAATATTAAAAATTATATATATATTTTTTCAAATTGATACATGAATTTAGAAGCGTAAACTAACTCATAAATCGCACAAGTTATATTCATTGAAATGGACCATTTTTAATAGATATACAATGATTAACAAGTATTTTTCAAATTATGCAAATCGTAATGCTAAGTAAATAATTTCATTTTTTAAAATATTCATAATTATTTAAAAAATTATTTTTTTATATAGTTATAATATTTTTCAAATTATGCACATCGTAATGGTACATAAATAAATACTCCTCGATTTGTTGTTTCTTATGAAAATTTTAATTCAATTAATTTTTTATTTTTATTTTTATATAATTTTATTTGTTAATATATATATATATATATATATATATTTTGGAATAAAATTTTAGAACATGATTTTTTTTTTCAATTTTTTAAAATATATTAATATAATTTATATGATTATTTTTTTTATGATTTTTAAATGAGAGTAGCATGCACACATATATAATCTAAAAGTTGAAAGTTTATTTCGGATACTCTGTCTCAATTTTTTTAAATAATCAATTAAAAATAAAATTATGTGTGCTATTTTCTTCTTTCTTATGCAATAAAAATTTATTGATATCAATTTAATCGTAGTTTTATTTTAGTTTATTAATTGCAAATTCATTCAATATATTCTTACAAGTTAAGTATTTTTTTATACCGCACACTCTAAACCCAATTACAATAGTTATGATATATTAAAAAATTGATTTTATTGAAGTTAATCATACATCTACACATATAACATCAATCATTTGATATTTTTTTTAATACTCTAAAATCAATTTTTTTTTTCAAATAAAATAGTTGAAATGTTATTTTAAAAGAACTATCTAATGATTCAAATACAATTTTTATGTTATTATTATTGATCATTGTATGAATAAATATGTATAAATTAAATGTACATATTTTTAAATAATAATCTTTTCATCGATATTAAATAAAAATAAAAAAATTATTTTTTTATTTATTAATTTTTATACAAGTTTTGACATTAATTGTAGTTTTTTTAATACAATCTTATGAAAAAATATTAAGGTGTTTTTTTTTGAAAATTTTGATTTAGATTGTTATAAATTTTTATTTAAAAATCAATGTATAAAGAATGGCAAATCATGTCTTTTTTTAAATAGAAAATTTATGAAAAATATAAGAAAGAATTAATTAAATACAAGATTTTGATTAAAAATTTCGATGATATTTTTATTTCATATATTTTAATAGAATTGTAATATAACGTGAATCATCGAATTGAAATAATTTGATATATTTTATCAGGAGCGTAGCACAGACAGCAAAGCCATATAAGAACTGACTTTGAATGGAAAGTTCACAGGATAACATCGTTTATACTTCATTTTTGCTAATGGGGCTTTAACTCTGAATAAATTTTCTGCATTCCTTCTTTATCTGGTTCAAGTTGAAGGATTTCAACAGCTACCGTAAGTTGTTCACAAAATCCATATTTCAAACATAGAATAACAACAAACAACATCCACTAAATATCAAATAAAGTCAAAAATTAATCAACACAAACAAAATACCAATTTCACCTGCTCATATGAAATCCCTACTCAAAACTAGTAAAAACAACCCAAGTTCCAATTTTAAACGTCATATTCATAAACCGAATTTACTATATATAAAACAGGAGAGATAATGTAGAAATAGAAATGGCCCATATTGTTGTGCCCGTCAATGTATATTCCATAGATGAAATTGAAAAGGATAGATTTTGGATTGTATTGTTTAGAAACTGAGGTGAGCAAAGGCTGGTTTAGTTAAAAAAAAAAAAAATGGTTTTTTTTAATGAAAAATAGAGCTACAGTAATTTATAAAAAAAGAGCATGCAAACAGCCTTACTTTTTAAATTTCCACGTAGAATCGGTCTTTATGTTAGCAGGAAATTTCTCGTCAGTAGAAAATCTCAATCCTGTCTTTATATTAGGAATTGGAACTCAAAATCTTACAACGATTTCATATTTACGGAAAAAAACACTAAACTAATTAAATCCTAAATTAAATACCACATGCAAACATCACTAAACCCACGTTTCCCACTCGTAACAAAAGCGCGTGAGATTTGATTTACATCCTTCTCTCTCTCTATCTTATACTTTGATGAAATCGAAGAATAATCATTCAATCACCTCCACGACCACCACCACAACCACATCATCTCTCCTCATCACCATCACCAGTCATAAAAGCACGGAATTATAGAATAGAATAAAACAAAGATAACTATTAAAAAAAGAAAAAGAAACGACTTTTATTAGCTCTCTTAACAACTTAAATCATTACCGCCTCCACAAAGAAGAGGAGAGATTTCAATTACTAGTAAAAGTCGAATCAGTCGTTGATCATCATATATGGCTGAGTTGACTCAGCCCGAGGTGGTTTACTCCCCGCGGTCAATGCAATTATGGAGGACACTATGGAACTGGCTTGCGTTCTTCTTCCAGATCTTTTTACAGATCCTTAGAGCCGTTGGACCTCAAACTCTCTCTTCTCCTCCTCACCCTTTCAAATCTTTGCCTCTCGTCGAGCTACCTGAGACCACCGATCCTCCTGCTGCTACCGTCGAGATCCCCGCCGGCACAGACTACGGTTCCACTAACGAACCTATCCGGAAACTGACGGTATGATATTGCTTTCCGTTGGTTCATGACTCTACTTTTCTATTTTTATTTTTATTTTTTAACAGTTGTTATTTTTATGATAGTTGCTTTTTAAAGTGGTTCTGTATGTTCTACTTTATGCAAAAATAAATAAATAAATAAGGAATTATTTTTCAATAAGTTAATTATTTTTGTGTTAGCTAGGTTCTATTTTGTGATTTAGATAGATATGGTGAGTTGAGGGTAAATTAAGGTGTTAGTTACTAGTATTAGAGGGTGTTAGTTACTAGTATTAGAGGGTGTTAGTATTTTTTTGCGTAAGTAGAGAGTGTTAGTAGTTGATAGTAATGGATTGAGAAATTCTAGTTTTAGCTTTATGAACTATTACTACTACTTAGAGGAGTGTTGCATGTTGGTGTAGATTTAACTATTTGAAAAATTATGTTTATGAGCTAAATCTAAGAACTTTCTTTAATTTTTATGTGATAAAAAGTGAGCTTTAGATTATTTTTGCATCTTATGTTCCGTTTGATGAGATGATAATTAGCATCTTGCTTAGTTTCACATTGTGTATGATATGGTTTTGTGCTCATAAGTGTTTAATGTTACCTTTCTTGTATTTGTATATTGTACGTAGGTTATGTTTCTTATATTTATTTATGTTCTTTTTGCATATTCTTTTTAAATTTTCAACATCTGAAGTTATAACAGGATTACCTTTTTGGGTTTATACGCTTTGATTTCTGTTTAAAATTTCGTCACATGGAATGCGAGTTAGTTCAGTAAAGTTTATGGAATAAATGCAGCACCGCTGTGAAATCTCACTATTGATTTTTCATATGCTAATGTGCTTAGAGGGTTTAAAAATCTGAGGGGTGGTCTTAGGTATTTAAGTTTCTAATCTGTAAAATCATTGTGCGAAAGGTGTTAGCAGGGTTTTTCTCTTTCTTCTCTTTTGCTCCTTCTAAAAACAGTTATTCAACATGGCACTGACTCCAAAATACGTATTGCAGGTGGTTCTTGACTTGGATGAAACTCTAGTATGTGCTTATGAGACATCTAGTTTGCCAGCTGTTCTCCGCAATCAAGCAACAGAAGCTGGATTGAAGTGGTTTGAGCTCGAATGTGTATCTTCAGACAAGGTTCTTACATGCAAGTCATTCTAAGTAAAGTTATTGTGCAATATCTATTTAAGATAAACTATTTTGACTTGAGTATGTTGAGATTTGAAGGAATGCGAAGGAAAACCTAAGATCAATTATGTTACGGTGTTTGAGCGTCCAGGGTTGGATGAATTCTTAAAAAAGCTAAGTGAATTTGCAGAGCTTGTGCTATTTACTGCTGGCCTTGAAGGTTTGATCATTACTTCACTGTTCATCTGGCTTTTATACTCACCGTGTCAGCTATTATATCTTCCCCCTTTTAGGTTAATTTCTTATTAAGTTCAATATACCACCTCTGAATATTTGCAGGTTATGCCAGACCACTTGTTGACAGAATAGATACAGATAATCGATTTAGTCTACGTCTTTATCGGCCTTCAACATCTAGCACGTAAGCACAAGTTGCTGTATTCAAATTTTTCTGGTCTTTTGCGCCTTACATCTTTTCTTCCTTGAATTTGTTACTGCTGACAGCATACCAGTTGTTCGAGATTTAAAATATTTAATTCTCTAGATAAAAAGGCATCTCACAAGGACAAGTTGAACCTGTGTTCTTGTCCTTTTAGTTTGCTGGATACATAAGCATACACCAGTTAACGATATTCCACAATGAAGTATGCACACATCTCCTTTTGAATTGGATATAAGTTATGACTCTTACACATTTCTTTAGTGATTTTATTGGAAATGGTTAAAGCTTCTATAATCTTTAGGAAGAATTTTTTGCTGCCAGTCTTAGATATTAGAGTTTCTCTTTATATATTGTTTGGATGCTTATCTTGCTAGAATAGCCAGAATCGTTTTGGCTGGTCTTTATACTTCACAAGGAAACTGATATTATGAAATGAATTAAGTATGATCGTGCAAAATTTACTTTTTGCAGACCAATTTAAGTTACTATGGTTTCATGTTAAGTAGGAAATCTATGCAATCATCTGCAATATCTGTCTGTGGTTAGAGTTATACATGGCAGAGCAAATTCTTGAAAATTTCATTTAATTTATTACAAGATAAATATTATTTACTTCACGTAAGCTAAGATTTTTACAAATTCCATGCTAGTGATTTTGTCAGCGTTTTAAAAAATAATGTTTTACATATTCTGTAGAAATTAAGTTCAGGCTCACCTCAGAGGACGCATCCAGCCAATCCTGACCAGTCTGGGGCTATTGTTTTGTTGGATTTTGAATTCAGTTCGTTTTTCTTGTTACTCAAACTAGATTATTTAAGCTCCCAATAATTTCCAATGTAAGGGTGCCTCAGTATTCTAGTTAGTGACTTCATAGTTACTATCATTTTTATTTTCTTGAATTATGATGTCTGGTTACTTGTTCATTCTTTAAGCATCATATAATGACTTTATATCTTTATTAATTGTAATGGATTTGCTTATTTTCAATAACATGTTCCAATTCTTTATGAGTGTTTTATGCCACACAATTTTAGTGGTTCAAACCCATCTTTCTAGTTTTCCGTGGATGTGAAGTTTTGATGGTAAACATGTGAATCCTGATAATGACACACTGATGTTGTGGGTGATTAAGTTAATCAAACACAGATGCTTTGTATAGTTGATTTAGTTCTAAATGAAGGAGTTAACTTCTCTTGTATGCTTATGCTTAAGATTACATTTTTAGTTTGGCAAACCTCTCATGCTGTATGTGAACACTGAACAGTGAGTATCGGGAGCATGTGAAAGATCTCTCCTGCATATCAAAGGATCCATGCCGTATTGTTATTGTTGACAACAATCCCTTCAGTTTCTTGTTGCAACCACTAAATGGAATTCCGTGCATTCCATTTTCTGCAGGACAACCACAGGATACACAGGTAGGAAGATCTATGTTACTTAAAATTCATACTCATTCCCCAATCTTGTTTGTTCATTTACTTAACCTCTCTCTATACATTTTTATGGACGGTTCAGCTTCTGGACGTACTTCTTCCACTCCTCAAGCACCTCTCTCAGCAGAAAGACGTGAGACCTGCACTCTATGAAAGATTCCACATGCCTGAATGGTTTCAGAAGCATGGAATCCCTGCTTCTGGTTGGACATAGCAGGATAGGAGATCATCTGCAATGGAAGCAGCCCTCCTTTGTACTATCCACAGTTATTTCATTCAAAGGCAGCATCTTATTGTAGGAGCGATGACATTTTGTATAGCATTAATTTCTCCGGTGAGGCATTGATGAAAGCTGAAGTAACGCAGCTTCAGAAAAGGGATTTATCTGCTGCTTTCGTTGGTCTAATAGGTACAACATTTATGTATGCAGATTTGTTTATACTCTGATTCTTGTTGTAACTTTGTTTATATGTTCGCACCTTGTAGTCTGCTTGATCGTTTATGTATCTCTTTTAGACTTATGTAAATCTGCACCTCATTAATGAAAACTTTGTAGTTCCCCCGTCGGTCTCAGTGGCAGCGCAGCTGGTTTTTAAGGAGTATTTACTGCTTGAATGTTCCATGTGACACGGATTGTAGCTGTTAATTAACACTATTGAGTATAGTTAAGATGAGCTTTGAAGAAATTAAATTGCTCAACAGTTCTGGAATAAAAAATGTCAAAAGAGTGAAAGACCGGTCCTGTTTGATGTCTGCACATCAACTGAACTGATCAAACTAATTAAGTAGATAATGCTATAGTGTAGTCCTCTTTTTGAGCTTTTGTCAAGATACTGTCATTTTCCTAACTTGGCTTGCTGGCCGTTGACCAACCCTTTCAGAGTCTCTGTTAGTGAGCATGGTTATCCCCTACTGGCTCCTGCTCCTTTTTTGGCTACTTGTGGACCTGGTTTAGGTAGTTGCCTCCCAGCTGTGGAGTTCTTATGGGGGTCAGTTTGGTAGAAGAATTTATTGCCTAAACTTTTCCTTGCAGTACTCCAGCAGTCCTAAGAACTAAGAAGCAAACTATCGCTACAGCTCTTTAATGGCCTTCGAGTATGAACTTGTGCCATTTTCCCATTGCAAGGTTTGATCCAGTGATCTTTTGTGCCACTAGAAATTGTCTGGCAGTGAAGTAACACAGAATGGAAGGAAATACCCTGCGTTGGCACATGGGAGGCGGTAACTTTGTCAAGTCATGATTAGTTTTGATGTTATGGATCGATTAGCACTCCGACATGATGTTCGGAACTTGACCCCTTTTACAGGTTTGCATGTTCCCAAAGTTTATATATGGAGTAGCAAAGCCAACCTACAACATCTATACGTACATAATATATACGATGACAGAAAGAAGTCATTTTTCATTCCCAATGGTGACCATCTTTTCCACTTTTTGTTTCCCATATTTTTTTTAATTGAATATTCTGTTCTGTAACAGGTGATGTGTGTCTGTGGTTTTTTTTTTTCTTATTTTTAAGGTCATAAGTATACTGGTTGAAATTTTGTATATTCGCCTAAGTTGATGAATTTTGAGGACCTGAAGTTTAGGCAGCGATGCTGACTTCCTTCAACTGTCATGTTTTAGAATCAGATTAAATTATCTCAGATAAGCAGTTAATAGGTATTTCTTATTTTATGATTTTTCTCGGTTATTTTTGCCACCTTATAATGAATACAGAACAATTTCTTTTCTAGTTTTGCGGCTATATTTACGAACAAAGAGCAGAACTTGGAAGACACAGAACGCAAGTACACAAAATGTTGGATGATGTATTTAATAATTATCCTGAAAATGTTATGTTCAGTAATCATTCTAAGAAAATGCACCTGCATAACAATCAAACATGGGCGCTTCTTGTAAATACAAGGGTAGTGTGGGGAGGAAGAACACAAAAACAAACCTTTAAAAAAAAAAAAAAACAGAGCAAAAATTCCTAAAAGGAATATCTGTTTATAAGGTTGGCAAAATGCCCGTACCTAAAAGGTAGAAATTAATAGAAAAGGATTGAGGTCATTCTTCAGTTCCAAAAAAAAAAGGTCCTTCTCAAGCAGTGATGAGACGTATTTATTGGAGTAACTTGCATGTGAATGCCATGCCATCAACTACAGAAGGCAAACTTGATCATCGGTGCTATTTGTAAGAAAGACACAACTACAAAACTGTAGAAACCAATCATTACATTATGGAAATAATTATACGCAATTACAATAAAGATTTGATCGTAAAGGATGCTTCAAGCTAGCATATACTTTACCTAAAAAAAAAATATTGTTCTTTACCTATAATGTTACATTAGTATATTAGTCATGCTGCTCTCTTGTGTAACAGATATGATTACACTCATTAACTACTTAGCTATGATGAATTTCTTTATATGTACTCTTTTACACACCAGTTTGACCATCTTTCTTTACCTAATTTATTTATTAATGTGTATATTATATATAAATTTAAACCTTTTGTCACTGCGTCTTCTTCTCTTCTTTTCCAGAATCAGCATGCAAGTTGTTGACATGTATTTATTAATATGAGCTGTTCTTCAGATTCCCTTAACAGGAGCCGTTAGTTCATTATTGTCCAAGTCTTAACCATTTTCGTATTTTATATGAAAGCAAGGAAGACGAGCCAGGTGAACTAGCAGGGTATTGTTTTTATATTAGCTAGACCTAGGCTAGAATAACCTTTTGTTTCTCTTAAGCCACTGCTGTATATACAATTGCATCAGATTTATTGTATATAATAATAAGAATACATCAAGCACAAGCTATCTTCTCATAATTTTATGATTATGTCCTAAATTTTTTCAAACACCGAAGAAACTAACGCGGTCTTGTTGTTAAATCAACTACTTGCTGTATTTTATAGGATCATTATGCAGAAGGTTGACCTGACAAATGAGTTGAAGTTATAATTCTGCGACATCCATTTTGCTCTACAAATTTTATCAGTGCCTTTTGCTCTTTTGGTAATTGGGAGAATAGCTTGCCTACATTCAATAACCGCATAATTAATTTAGAATTAGAATCGAGAATCTATGAAATGATTGTAACAGGGGGTATCCTCCAGATTTTCCTGAAATATCGGGATGTGATTTGAATGAATCCTTAGTGCCTTAATTCTATCCCACAGGATTTTTTTGGTTTCTTGTACCCAACGGGGTTTTGATATGGAGTAACAATGTAATGTGAGAATCGTTTGTATACTTATCATGTAAGGGAAAAGATTTTCAATTTGACTTTCATTTTATCTAGAGGTGGAAATTAGGTTGTATTGGGATCTTATGTTTAACTTTTCAATAAAAGTATCAAACTGAAAAACAAATCCTTAATGATAGTGATTAGTGTGAATGGAGAAAGGGCGAATGAGCAATAATACTTGGTCAAATGCTTTTACATATATGGAGACGTAATTAAGTGAACTAAATCATTTCATTTTTTTTTTTTTTTGTTATCAACAAACAAACGAGAGAATGAGTCATATTACCTATTAGAGAGAGATGATATACGATTATTTAAGGTTTATTTATTATAATTTTCCATTTTGAGAACGTATAGAAACAATTCAATTTGTTGTCTGGGGACTTTGAACATGGAAGGTATTTAAATGTTTTCATTGCCCTGCAAGGAAACTTCCATTTTTTTTTTTGAAAAAACAAGGCAAAGTAATTAAGAGTAAATTATAAATTAGTCCCTCTCATTCCAAAAAAACGAATTAATTAATCCTTTTTATTTCAAAAACAAATTATTTAGTCTTCATGTTTTGAAATTTACTTTTAATTTAATCTTTTTTATTTTTTTTAATTTTTTATTTTAAAAATAAAAAATATATGAAAAGATTGATGAGAAAATAAAAAAATTTGTGAAATAAAAATAATATTAAATTGAGTTTGATTAATATTATTAAAAAAATAAATAGTAATTTTTGAAACGAAGACAATTAATTAATTTGTTTTTTGAAATTAAAGACATTAATTTATAATTTACTCAAGTAATTAAGGATGGTCGCCTACGAAACTACGAGAGAGAGAGAGAGAGAGAGAGAGAGAGAGAGAGAGAAGAAGAAGAAGAAGGAAGAAAACGTCTACGTTTAACCTTTATTTTTAACCAATGCCGGGCTTTTTTGTCAGTGGCAAAGCACGCAAACCCAGCAGTTATCACAGAAGCAAAACAAAATATTCCACCCTTCCATCCCTCCAATAGGTTGACCTACCTAATTTAACCCAAATCGGTCAAGTCTTGAACCTTAAATTTGTTGCAAACTCGCAATGATTAAGAGTATGAAACCAATACAAGATTTGTAAAATAAGCTTTCAGACATACTATGATGCATCACATACCACCAACTACTGTTTATAAATATATATACTCTACAAAGTTTGACATAGCATGACTAACCTAAAAAGTTGAGTAATATTCCTTCGTTTAAATTTGCCCAGTACATCACTTAAATCTTCATTTTTACTTTGCATTGGTATTTTATTTGTTAATATGAAGCAGACATCACCTTTACGAGAGTACAATCAAACATGTCAAATTGAAGTTGTTATCAGCGGACCAATCCGTAAATTGAGTTGAATGTGTCAAAAATTTGCTAGAAGATGGGTGTTTTCTACACAACATTTACATGAAGAATTGGGCAAAATCTATGATTTTTTGAACGAGGGTCCATTCTTAACTCTCCCCAGTCTCCATCAAACGTGTTTGAACCTTCAATAAAAAGGCCAAAAAAAGAAACCTAAAAGCAAGTTAAAAAATTGACCAAAGAACAAAAACCCACCCATCTTTCTCTCTGCTTTCCTTTTCTGTCCTTCTCAATCTCCCCAATCAAATCAAGCAGCCAACCGTAAAATTCATGCCGTTTGACCCAGTTAGAATACATTAGATCTTGAATTTTGAATATTATAAAATTACGGATAGTTCTTTCTAATTAGTGACAATTAGCCTTTTAAAAAAGATTATGATGAATCATGTACCCTTTTAACTGTAAAACGCTTGCCATATAAAATACAACTTGAAAGGATATATATACATATACTTTTTTTCAAAGTAGATTCCATATATGCAGCCCTTGTAGTCAAGAATTGCCACCTGTTTCATTAAAAACTTTCCCCTTCCATTGCCTACGTGTTTCATTTTTTATTTTTCTTTTTCAAATTCACTTGGGCATGGTGC